CCTGAGCCCATTATGTGCCTCTGTAACCCTTTCCACTACCGCCCACAAGATGGGTATGGGGGGCATAATAAATGAACTAAACTAAACTAACTGGTCAACAAACAGAATTGTTTAAAATAGAAGACATGGGTTGACATTTTAGGGGTAAGGTAGGTTACAAGGAGTTAATTAGATAGTACTTAGTTTTTATCTTAAACTGGTTGGGAGAGGTACACAGTGACCTTCCCAATCACAGTCTCTGACATGATTGGGAAGGTCATTCCACTTTCTGGGTCCCTAGATTTGTAGAGCATTTCTAGTTTGGTTAAGTCGTACTCTTGGAATATCAAATAGGTATTTGTTTCTGGTGTGGTGCTCAAGGGTTCTGTTACAACCTTCTAGGAAGCTTTTGAGGTCAGAATCGACATCACAGTTCAGCGTTTTATATATATAAACTACACATGAGAAGATGTGCAGTGACTTAATATCTAACATATTCAGAGATTTGAGTAAGGGTACCGAGTGATGTCTGGGGCCAGAGTTGGATATTGTCCTAATAGCAGCTTTGTGTTGGGTAATTAGAGGACGTAAATGATTTTGGGAAGTAGAACCCCAAGCACAAATACCATAGTTGAGATATGGATAGATGAGGGAATAATAGAGTCACCAGGGCAGGGCGAGGTACATAATATCTGATCTTAGAAAGAATGCCAACAGTTTTTGAATCTTTTTTTGATATATTTAGAATGTGTTCCTGGAAATTCAGCTTTCCTATCTACTAAGCTACTCTATCCCTTTGATATGTATTTTTTTCTTGTCTCAATAAATATACTTGAACTTGAACTTAGAAAGAATGCCAGAAGTTTTAGAAACTTTTTTTGATAGATTTGGAATGTGTCCCTGGAAATTCAGCTTGTGGTCGATGAGGACACCAAGGAATTTACCAGCTACTCTGTTCATATAAATTACGACACTAGCTCTCCACATATGTGAGTTGCTTAATTTAGATATTTACTTTTGGTCGATCTCGAACCCATTGATAATGTGACGACTTATATTGAATTTTGTAACTAGCTCATCAAGATTGTAACTTGCTTAGCTAAATTAATTGTGGGTTCAGTCCATTTTAGTTTAGCTTAGTTCATTTATTATGCACCCCATACCCATCTTGTGGGCGGTAGTGGAAATAGTTACAGAGGCACATAATGGGCTCAGGGACTGAACCCCACAATTCATTTAGCTAAGCAAGTTACAATCTTGATGAGCTAGTTACAAAATTCAATATAAGTCGTCACATCAACAATGGGTTCGAGATCGACCACAAGTACAGGTTCTAAGTTAAGCAACTGACATATGTGGAGAGCTAGTGTCAAAATTGATATGTTTGTCCTGCACACCGCCCCCCATCCAGTGGGCAGCGGTGGATAGGTTACAATCACTTAGTTACTACCTACAGTTAGCAAACTGGGGATATTTGGCTAAAATTTCTGGTAGCAGATCATTTTGAATGAAATATTGCACACACATCACTGGAACATTGGTTATAAAATTGTCTCTAAATTCACGTATCTTTTCGCACTCCATCACATAGTGACAGAGGGTGTGCGAATAATTTTGTTGATACAGTTTACATTTGGTCAGGTCTACATCAGCAGATAATGAAAATTCCCAGAGATACTTATAACTGAGTCTAAGCCGAGCAGTAGTAGGGTTCAGTCCATGAGCCAATATATGCCTCTGAAACCCAATTCAATTTTTCAATTTCTTTCTTCACCCCTTTCCACTACCGCCCACAAGATAGGTATGGGGTGCATAATAAATGAACTAAACTACAAAAATCGGGAAGGAAATAAACACGGTTCTGAAACGTCGTCTCTTCTATTAATTCGTAAAGTCAATATTGACTTATTAACTACGTGCATATGTGATATACTAAACATAATAGATACCCTTAAAAAGATTCATAGAAAACACCGACCTTACCTAACCTTGTTAGTATCTTAAGATAAGCATCTTATTGCTTCGTAATTACAATTAATACTTAACCTATACCTATTATAGGTTAGGTAATAATTGTAATTACGAAGCAATAAGATGCTTATCTTAACATACTAAGTAGGTTAGGTAAGGTCGGTGTTTTCTATGAATCTTTTTAAGGGTATCTATTATGTTAAGTATGTCACCTATGCACATATTTAATAAGTCAATATTGACTTATTAAATTTGCGAGAACGGGTTGTCTATTTCTAGCGTGTGGTTTGGTCAACAAGGTTTTGTACATGTAAATAGCACGACAGAATGTGTGGAGTGAGTGTATGATAATTTAGCATGTTAATTTAGGAATTTAAACAGCGGGGCTGTGTGTTGCCTGAAGACAGAGTTTTTTAAAGTTATCAAACCGTCCCAAAACAGTAAATTCCCAAACAGTAAGTTAAGCGGTCCCCGTGTCGCAGTGGTAAAGCACTCGCCTGGTGCTTCGTGATAGTAGTTGACTCTCGTAGTGCCCTCATGGCTTTAGGGTCCTTTAATCCAGTCCACCCTGTGGTCATCGAGATTCAACATTGGCTGTTTCTTATCTCCAGTAAATTTAAGTCAGTTACGTTTTGCTGGGTTCCCAGCCATGTTGGTGTCTCTTTAAATGAGCGTGCGGATGCTGCCGCTAAGGACGCTATCCGCACTTGTCCCATCGGTGTTCCTTAAAGGTGTTCCTTATTCTGACTTTTACTCAGTTATTCATGCCTCCATCCTTGCCCGATGGCAGAGTTGTTGGTCTTCTGTTCTTGGTAACAAACTGCGTACTCTTAAGAGTAGTGTGTCCCAGTGGCCTTCCTCCTGCCACCGTAACCTGCGGTGGGAAACGGCTCTGGCTAGGTTACGTATTGGCCATACCCGTTTAACTCACGGTCACTTGATGGAGCACCGCCCTGCTCCTTATTGTCCGAATTGCATTGTCCCTCTTACGGTCGTACATATCCTTGTTGAATGTCCTGACTTCCAGGACGAGCGTGTGTCTTGTTTTCCGACTGTCCCTCGCGGTCGCTTGTCCCTTGATAGAATTCTTGGCGACTCTGATACGTTTGATATCGTTCGCCTTATGCGTTTTTGTTCTCGTATTGGCATCCTTGGTGATATTTAGCGCCTTCTGATTATCCCGCACTTTGATGGTGCTGCATAGCCTTCCCGGTTTGGTGCCTTCTATAGATAATTACTTGGTACTTACTTGGTGCTTCGTGAGTGCTTTGGCCTGAGTTCATATCCTGGCCGGTGAGGATTGAGTTTGTGCCAATCCTTAACTGTAGTCTCTGTTCACCCAGCAGTGATTATTAAACGATTACAATTATTATTAAATTACAATTATTACTTAACCTATACCGTTGATAGGTTAAGTAATAATTGTAAATAAGCAATAAGATGCTTATCTTAACATACTAAGAAGGTTAGGTGAGGTCGGTGTTTTCTATGAAGCTTTACAAGGTAAACTAAAATATTCACAATCAATTAGTATGTCACATATGCACTTATTAAATTAGCCAATATTGACAGTAAGCAAGTGCGAGAACGGGTTGTACAAACATAGGAATGAGAAAATATGTAAAATGTGAGGAATGTGTAAAAAAAATAGTTCTGATAGTAGATTTTTGCTGGGTGATGATGGTATTGAAGTAATTTGCAGTAGTATTTGAACCCTATGCAGTGGGGATGGGAGGCCGCCAGCTCTGACAAGCTGGCGGCTTCTTGTCTTCGTCGAGGCCAGGAGAGAGATAGTCGCCTTCAGGTAGTATATTGCATGCAGTAGGAATATAATGTCTGCCTCCGATCGTGTTAATAACCTAACACAACACCTGTAGTGTAGGTAGTGTTGAGAGATGGTGGCGCCAGGACCCAGAGACGTTACACAACCAAAGATCACATTCACTCCAAACATCTACCACCAATGCTGGCTACTCATGCCAGTGCCACTTCTTACCTGGAGCATACCTGGGGAGGGTTCTGGGAGTTCTACTCCTCGAGCCCGGCTGGAGGTCAGGCTCGACTTGTGATAACTTGGTCCAGTTGGCTGTTGCTTGGAGCTGCCAGCGGACCCCTTCCCCCCTCTCGTTGTGGCTTCATCAATCAATTTGTGAGATGACAATCAGAACAAATGGAAGGCCCTTTGACAAGCCGCCGCCTTCTTCTCCTCGTCGAGGCCACTAGAGAGATTGATTTTGGAGAAAGTTCAACACCGGACAACACAAATAATTCCAGAACTAAGTCAACTCGCCGGGAACGGTTAAGGGCCACAGGGCTAACAACATTACAAACCAGACATGGCAGAGCTGATCTCATAAAAACGTTCAAAATATTGAACAATTTGGAGGATGAATTGATCCGGACAACTTTTTCAAAAGGTCAGATGTAACGCAGAGAAGGAGCAACGGGTTCAAGCTCAATAAGCCACAATGTAGGACTGAGAACAGGAGATGCTTTTCACCCATAGGGTTAGACCAATGGAACCGCCTACCCGCCAAAGCCGTAAATGCCAAAACTCTGTTGAACTTTAAATTCCGGCATGAAAAAATCATTAGGAGAAATGGGGGGACCTTTGACAAGCCGTCACCTTCCTGTCCTCGTCGAGGCCACTAGTGAGTTAGTAGCCCTTAGGTAAATTCAGGCAAATTCAGATAGTCGCTCTCAGGTAAAATCAGGTATAATGCATACAATGGGGATATAATGTCTACCTCCGATCGTGTTGTGAAATGACAATTTTAATATTTGCTTATGTACTATGATATGACAATGATGTCCCTGGTTTGGGTGACGTCCGGGAATGGGTGGTGATGGAATGGGTGGTGATGGAATGGGTGGTGATGGAATGGGTGGTGGGCGGCAGGCGAGGGTTCTCCCGCCCAGCCATTGAAGTGTCAGACAGCCTCCGGCAGCGAATTTAAGATTCCTCCCATCCCAGTCAGCATATTTCCCGAACAATTTTATATTTGTAATTGATTTGTAAACACGCAACATTAAACGTTTGTGATTTGTTTTGAATGTAAATAGTAGGGAGCTTGGTGTGTGAGTAGCAGTAGTAGTAGTAGTAGTAGTGTTGTGAGGGCGCTGCTCGACACACCCGCTCCCGTAAAAACAAACCAATCCAGTACATCCTTACATCTATTAGTACTCTTACCAAAAGACAGTAAGTACCTGCTGGGCCTGCCTCAGCTGCCGGGGACACTCCTGCATGCCCATTTGGTCTCTCTAGGGTGGTTAATTAACTTTGTGCCGCTGTGGGGCCAAGTTGATCAAGTGGCCGCTAAGTCTGTTGTTCCGAGGCGAGTGTCTCACGGACTTGGAGTGTATTGGTTTGTTGTTTGTTAGTGTTGTGGGTCATGCTGGGTTGTGGTAGTGTTGTGGCTGGTACACAAGAGTAAGGGAAACCCCGCCCCCCCTCCAGTAGGCCTATTAACTCATAGTCTTTAAGCTGTATTAAGGCTTTATGCTCGGGGATCGCAAGGGAGGGTCCATCATCCATAATTATAATGAGTAATTTTAATTGGTAGAAAATTGAGAGAAAGGATGGCTAAATGATGTTCTGCTCCCTTACTGAAATCTTGAAACATGTTAAATATCAAGTCTCTGCACTTACTCTCAAGCGTTCTCTATAAAACTGAATTGCAATGCCTAGCCTGACCTTAAACACTTCCCAGATGGCTGTAATAGAACTATAGGTCACCACACCAGAAACAAATACCAGTTTTTCCTAGACTAAGACTCGACCGAAGTAGAAATGCTATGCAAATCAAGGGTCTCACATTGCGGAATGACCTCCTAAATGTAGTTAAAAACTGTCCATCTCCCAACCAGTTTAAATTAAGAGACAAAGAAACATTTACGTAATATCGTGTAATTCATATTATATACAGTACTTGATATCATGTAATTAATCTCTCACATTTTTCATAGTTTAAAGTTCTTATTGTGTTAATCTTTTCTTTTAAGTTTTATTTACTAATAAATGTCCTTTCTTCATTGTGTCATCTAATTTTTGCCTTTCATTTCTAAAGTGTTTACTCTTGTCCTTGTTGATCCTTGTTTATTTTCAAGTGTTGGCCCCATTAAACATGTTATACTTTATCAACCTTATGTTCCAGTTGCTTTTCTAAATTACTTTATCTATTTAAATTACTTTTCTAAATTGCTTTAAATTGCTAAATGACGCCTTAATATTTCCAATGTTAATGTAAATACAGTACTGTACTCTTGCTAGAACTACTGACTCCATAGTGTAATAGTCTATGTCTATCTTCATTAAGTATCACCTTTTTATTGTACAGTATTCACTTATTTTCCTTGAACTTTTTAAGTTTTTGTTAGCTTGCTTCTCTTTCAGTAGTACAGTAAGTGTTTACCTCTTCCCACCTTTAAATAATTTGTTTTCACAAACTATTTTAAGTTTTGCCAGTAACACTTTGCATAATAGTGGCTTCATTAGTGTAATTTGTCACCATAATTGTACATTACTCATATGTTCTTTGTATACATATTCTTTTGAATACATATTTGAACTTGAATGTCTCCATTAATACAGAAATTGAACATGAGGAACTTAAAATTTTGATAAGCCTTCTAGCCGAGTACCCTCCTCATTTTCATCCCTGCCCATGCTTGAAACAATCCATCAATTCCATGTTTATTATGTTACATGGTAATTTGTTCCCTGTGTCAATATCCCCGTTTCTAAACCAGTAAAAACAGAGATAAGCTTGCCCAGGTCGTTTCACTCGAGGCTCCCAAGATGTACCTGACACTTTTGGGTATGCAAGTCGCTTCCAACCCCAAGATGGTTCGCTTACACATTATCTAACCTCAGCCCAAACTAACCTCGCCCAGCTACCCGTCCTCTTACAAATAACGTCGCTTTTCGCTCATATGCACTACGGCCAAAAATTGCTGTAATCCAAAATGGAAATTTATTTTCCAAAGGATATGGACCCAAAACAGGGAATTTTGTGTCCTTTAGTTGGTTAGGAGGGCAGCTAAAGTTTCAAAGTGTTATGAAACTTAATTTAAAGTCTCCTTTCCTAACCTAACATTAAGCCAGAGGACCCAAAACAGAAAACAGAACAGTACGTCACTTTTGCAAGCCATTTCCATTTTCCATTAGAGCAATTTTTAGCCTGAGTGCACATACAAATGGAAAGTGACATTACTGTATTTGTAAGAGGACGGGTTGCACCCAGTGCCACTTCAAACCCATCAAGCTTACCCCACCCCACCACACCACACCCCCAGTGATATATTCAGCTTTTCCTGAATAGTCTGTGTATGGTTTTGCATCTATGAGGATTGACTAGGCGCCAGTCCTAGACTGTTCACCCAACAGGGAATGAGTACCTGGTTGTTAAATGATTTGGTCTTTTTTACTCTCTGTGTGTCTCTCTCTCTCTGTCTGTCTCTCTTTCTTTCTTTCTTTATTTTTAAAGGACTCTTGCTATAGTACTTTTGTCCCATTTCATAAATTTGTTTATATCTTTACTGATTTAAAGGCTCAATAAATTGTAATATGGTTTTAGGCACCATGAGACCAGTGGCCCTAGAGGACGAAGATGATGGTCAAGAGAAGGAAGGAAAAGTAAAAAAGGCGACTACTTCAAGAGGAAAAATAATCCAGCGAAAACTGGAGAAGCTCAAGATGAAGAGATGCTTGAACCAGTATTTGGAACGGTCATCTTCAGGTGAATGTAACATTTATTTGTGTTTAAAATATTTGTATTTGATTATTTCTGATGTTATCCTTAAATAGTTGTTCCTCTGTAAAGGGTGTTTTTAAAGTACTGTATCGAACTTCATTAAATAAGTAATTAATATTTAATCCTACATTCAGTGTCATAAATTAGAATAGTAGAGGCATTTAGTGTCAAGTGCTGCATTTTTTAGAAATGTAATGTTATCCTTAACACTTTCGTGTGCCCAGTGGGTCACCCACATCACACCGAAAAGTAGGCCGGGCATTGCCGGTTTGCCCACAACCCAATGTTAAACGCTTTCACTCGCAACGTTTATACTTAATAATAGTAAGAATAAGGAAAAATTAATGCATGATGCCGGGAGTGTCATCCTCCGAACTGCGTGTATTGTTTTGACGATGATGAGAGTGTCATCAGGACGCCAAAGTGTTTTAAGAGGCTGCTCTAAACAACTTCCTAACCCTTGTGCTCATCATTCATCATGGCAGACTACCACATAGTCATTCCATATGATATAGTTAGTGTTGAGACTGGCTCATGCTCAACCATCATCATTCTTGCTGAAACATGGTGTGCTCGTTCATGGATGCTTCAAATGTCAATGGAGGCAAGGGAAGCAGGAGGGATCAGAGAACAACCACAAAACAAGGTAAAACTCGCCAGAGTGTGTAGGTGCAACAATAAAAGCGACTGCTTTAAGACATTAGGCACCTCTAATTAGGTTGCCTGAGGGTTGGGCCACCGTGCCCCCCCTTTACTAGGGAGCCACCTGTATAAAACTTCATATCCACACTGGGAAGAATAGAACAGGTCAGGGACAATGAGCCATTGTGGATCCAGCAGGAAAGGGTTTTTTATTTCATTTGGTGCTTGATTTCTGAGAAGGACAGTGGCATCTCCAGGTTACTAAAACAACACTTTGATCAGGAGGATGGCTTTTCTGAATAACTGGAAAAGCAGCTGACTGTGCTGATCCTTTACACAGAAGAATGGCAGGAAAAGGAGGGGCCCAGGGTAAAGAACACAAGTGACTGCACACGATTGCATGACGAGACTTTACGAGACTTAATGGCTCTGTCTTTTCTCTAATCTTTGTATGATATACCTGAAAAAACCTTTAGAATTTGTCTTTGCCTTGTATACGAATTTAATACTATGTCAAATAACTTTGAAACGGATTAAGGATTAAGTTGTTCGAAGAGGATATAGAAAAAGTCAAAGGGATCTTTAATGATTGGACAGCAGTAATACACTAAAGCATTATGCTTTAATAATCATGAACTTGGCCTTAATATATGGTAGAGGAAAGTCTACATAAAAGAACTCGGTATATTTTAGATTAAGATTAAGGTATAAATATTACTGGCAATACAGTGCTGATGTTCGTGAAAAAGATAAAGAATGCAAATTATATAGTATGCCGCATGCTCACACGCTAGATCACCATATATTGCTTTAAGAATATAGAAATAAAGAAATGACTGTAGTAGTGTACCATATCAAATTGTATGGATGTGTGATAATGATATGATAACAAATTTTTTTAACACTTTTGTCCGGTAATGACACAGTATTGCGTGCTAAATTGGCTGCGGGAGGGTCGTGCCGCGGTTTTGGACATTATATGCATATATTCCTGTAGGGAATTTCATTGTGAATACATTGATACCAAAATGAAAGACCTAGAACCAGAATTGAGGTAACAAAGTTGAAAAGAGTACTGTCTCCACTCGATCATCCGGACTATATGGGAAGGACCCCCAGCCGGATTATCACATTTTTCGGATAATGGTACTTTTTCACCTACGAGTCCAAAAGTGACCATTTCCAACTATTTTTATACTATAAACAACATAATTTGAATTGCCTTGCCACATACAATTATTAAATATTCAACTAGAAACCTCAACTTACCTTGTTGGTGTTCGTCTTCTTGATTGATGCCACACATCTTGAAGTTAAAAATTCTTAACAATTTACGTAACCTATACTAACACAACACTAAAATTAACACTTAAAATTACTGTACAGTTCATTAAGCTAAGTTAGTTTTGACTGCCAGCTGCTGAAGCCTCACTGGTTGAGGGCATTTGGGTTGCCTGTGAGGCCTCACTTGTTGAAGGTGCTTGCTTGCACCTCACTTGTTGAAGCGCTTGCATGCCCTCACTTGTTGAAGGCGCTTGGCTTGCCTGTGACGCCTCACTTTAAAGTTAAAGGCGCTTGCTTGCGCCTCACTTGTTGAAAGCGCTTGGCTTGCCTGTGGCGCCTCACTTGTTGAAAGCGCTTGGCTTGCCTGTGGCGCCTCACTTGTTGAAAGCGCTTGGCTTGCCTATAATGCCTCACTTGTTGAAGGAGCTTGGCTTGCCTGTGGCGCCTCACTTGTTGAAGGCGCTTGGCTGCCTGTGACGCCTCACTGTTTGAACAACACGTAACTTGTCTTTAATTGCTAGGACAATCTTCTTCCTCTTAACACTTCCAGAACGATTGATGCTGCTACCAGACATATTCTTGGCCAAAAATGTTCAAAATTACTATGAAAATTAAGAAAGTTATTTAAAAAAATATTTCACTAATGGCGCAACACTGTGAGGCCGCACTGGTTGAGGCGTATAACTGTGACTTGTCTTTAATTGTTAGGACAACTTTCTTCCTCTTAACACCTCCAGAACGATTGATGCTGCTACCAGACATAGTCTTGGCCAAAAATGTTCAAAGTTACTATGAAAATAAAAAAGTTATTTAAAAAAATATTTCACTAATGGCGCAGCACTGTGTATAACACGAGGGACGGACGCACATGGGTTGACCAGTGTTGGACAGGTCCACTTGGGGCAGCCATAACGCGTTATGTAGGCCGCCAGGAGGAAAAAAATTCACAATATTTTTTAAGGAAACTTCAGCCTGTGCACAATGCTTTTAGGAAACTTATTTATTTGTTATTACATAATTACTAGTAGTTATTTTATTTGTTTTTGGCTATGATTAATTGTTCTAAAATTAATGGTAATTCCTGTACCCAGGTAGTCTCTCCTGACGCACCCCTCCCACCCACCCAACACCACCCACCCACCCCACCCCCACCTACACCATGCGCCTCGAGTCTCGGGCAGACGGGATTAATACCGTATGGCCTGCCTCATGTTTTCGTATACGGACAAAGGCACGATTATCTGGGGGACTGACCGGATAGTGTAATTTCTGCAGAAAACCTGCTTTAATCCGGTCCCTGTGGCTATTTTGGCCGGATATTGTGATAACTTTATCCATTCACGATTTTGGCCGTATAAGGGCGTTTTTCGGATGTTCGAATCCCGGATAATCGCGGGGTTACAGTATACCCTTTTATTGCGCTTGATGAGCGCTCACTGGGGTAACGCTCCGTTACTTTCTCTGTTTGCTGTGGGTAGTACGCCGGGCTTTTGGACTTTATATTTGCATATACTCCTGTAGGGAATTCTATTGCGAACACAATGGTACCAAAATGAAAGACCTAGGACGAGAATTGAGCTGTCCAAAGTGAAGAGTGTGCACATTTTATTGCTCTTGCGCACTTCCGGGTAACACGCTCTCACTTTTTCACTTTCTCGCCGGGCCTTTGGGCTTTGTGTGCATTTAGTCCTGTAGAGAATTCTATTGCAAACACATTGATACCAAATTGAAAAATCTACGACGAGAATTGAGAATTGAATCGCTCGCCCAGAGCGTGAGTGTGTTAACACTTTCGCGCTTTATATTAGAGATAACTCGTCGCTGTTTTTTCTTACGATTCCGCATAACAGCCTACTTTTCTCGTCCATCGAAAAAATATTTCTATAAATTCCATTTTTTAACCGAAATGGATGGGGATACTTTTGTTTTGTAGAAAATTTATTTGCGAATTTTTTGGTACCAGAATGAATATTATATCACATAAACTTCTATGAGTAAAAAAAAAATACACAAAGTATGTTTGGGGGTGTGGCGAGCGTGTGGCAGTGGGTTCCCTTTAGCCGTTGATATATCCAACACGTGGGAAATATTTGTATGTGTTATGTATATGTCTGTGTAGGGAATTTTACTGCGATCACTGTCATACAAATTATAAAATGTTTCAACAAGTATAAACATGACAAACATCAAACGAACGAAAACAATGCGTTCGTTTCTGCCGCGAACGCATACTGAGCGACGTGGTTCTATATTTGGCGCTTCTCTTACACATGCTTTGTACCAATGTTATACAGTTCATCTTATAGAAAATTTTATTGCGAACACATTGGTATAAAAAAGAAATACGTACATAGAAAAGTAGGGTCAGGAAATGTATAAACTTTCCAAGCATGATTTCCCCCCTGTGTTTTTGCCAGTGCGCTCGCGGCTAACTACTCTCCACTTCACACACTCTTGCGGGTGGGCAATTACCTATATTAAACATTCATATGCATATGTCCGTGTAGAGAATTTTATTGCGATTCCAATGATACCAAAATTAGCGATGTAGGACAACTGTAGGCTTCGCAACCATTAAGAAAGTGGAAACATTTTGTTGCTGTTTGGCGTTCTCGGCGAGTGATCTGCATAGTTTTTTATTTGGTGTTGATACTCCTTATGCTTGGGCGGCATTTTATAGGTATGCTCTTATAGACAATTTCATTGCGAACACAGTGATACCAAATTTAAATACGTGCGCCTTCAATTATTGTCAGGACAGTAAAAAAAGTGGACACTTTTTCGGTCTTACCGCGTAGGCGCGCGAAGTGCCGAAAGCATCTGGGGTATTGTATTTTTTTGAGCGCCGAGAGCGCGAAAGTGTTAAGAGGTTCAAGCACTTTGCATCAAGACTATACATAATACTAAAATTCATTTAACAGTGTAATATGTACTGTGTGACAACTATTGAATTCATGTAAATGTATTTGTAATGTAAAATATGATTATTACAGTCCAACCTGGACCATTCTCGCAATCGACTTGAGAATGGTCTAGGACGGACTGAAACGTCGTCGTCC